ATTCAAATGGATCATATATTTTTGACTTTGATGTTACTGGTGAAGAGGTTGGAGGATATGATTCTTTATTAATAATTTGACTAACATAAACACTTGTATGAGCGGTTTTCTTTTTTTTTCGGAGGCACAGTATGATTTGCTTGCGGTCGAAACTGTTTACTGTTATCATCTGTCCAAGTTTCAGTATTTATTAAAGAATAATCATTATTAATAGCTGATTCAGATCCAGATTCGATTTTATTATCATTCATTATGAAGGATTAATGGGAGAGTGTTCTAATTTTCAAAAGTTGTATGTACATAAATTCCCTACATATATGTGAATCTGCATGAAGGCGAATACCACTATATAATTTCAGAAAGATTTTTGAAGATCATTACTTCATTAGATCAGACCAAGATTATCAAATATTGATATTGGCCAAAATTAACGTTAACGTTACTTAATAAATACAAATTTAACTTTACGTTAATAATAGTTTAATAAATTAAACACATTTTTTACAAAATTATATCAATATTCGAACTATTCGCAAGAAGATGTGGATATCCAAACCCACGACATCCAGCTATTATTCCAGCAAAAAATCACTTATTTTGATATATTATATAGGAAAGATGCCGAGGAAACTAAAAATCCTAACTTTTGAACTTTACTTTTAATTCTAAACGATTTAAACTTGCTAAAAAGAATAAAGGCTTCAGACATACTTGTTTTTAATATTTATATCGGCACTAACCCATTATAATCTGGATGTCCAAATCCATTACTTCCGTTGATAATTACGGTAAAAAAGTCTTTTATAATTTGTATTAAATCTTCTATAATTTGTATTACCAACATATCCAAAGGTTCAGGTTGGTCGATCTCAAGAGTTCCGTGTACAATTGGCTCATAAGGCTCAATATACAAATATGAGTGATTCGACTTTTTGATCCTATAATAATTGATAATAATTAATTCGAACTTCTATGTATCAATTAAAGTGATAAAAAAATACTAACAGCCAAATCATAAATATGACAAAAGCCTCAATAATCAATACAAAAATTAGAATATAATTGCAAATACAAAACTTGGGCAATAAATTTTTTAAAAGAAGTTCGTCGAATTTCTTATGAAAATTTTGTTCCTTCATTTTCAATATCTTTAATTTTGATATAGACAAAAGTGCTTTTATAAAATTACATGCTTTATATATTTTAAAACGGATCGCGTACAATTGAGTAACAGATCAGCATTTATATTATAAAACCTATATTCATACAGAATTCTGAGTTTCATTTTATTTTGTAAAATAGGTAACATGAATATCCACGGCGAAGATGGCGAAAATAGCATAAATTAAATTAATTATCTCTTATTTGAAAAGTACATTCACGAAAAATGAAACATTGAACAAAGCCTTTTGCAATAGTATGCCACAACTTTCTTGGAATCCTATTGCATGGTATTTATAGTTTTTCACATATTTGTATGCTGAAAAAATTTTAATTAAAAAATACGCGTATTAATTGCGTAACAGATCAGCACTATATACACGAAAAATATTATTAATCATACTTATCTCGGAGTTTCATTTTAATGCTTTATAAAATAAGTAATACAAATAACCGCAGCAAAGATAGCATAAATTAAAACAAAATTGTTTTAATTATTTCCCTTATTTGAACAAGTTCATTTATGACAAAATGTATTAAAAGGAGCATAAAAACATTCAGCTTCTAATAAATTTTAATCAAAATGAAATCAGAATATTTTATTTATTTAACTCTAAATCTTTTACGAAGAATCGCTAAAGGGATTCTTTACTTCTTTGTTTCACTCATATTGATTCTTTTATCAACCATTGTAATATTCATTGCAGTATTTATTTTAGTATTTATTCCAAATTTATTTATTCTTTCTGTTATAAATGTTGCTATCGCATTATTATTTCGAAGAATTATCAATAACGATAACAATGTCAATAAATTTAAGTCTGCAATTTCTAATCATAACAGGCTTTCAGTTTCTTTTTTACTTAAAATCACCAAAAAATTTTTTGATTTAACTGGAAACCGAATCTTTACTGATTCGAAGTTTATGATTCGTTCTCGGTTAGAACTAATTACATATTTATTTACGAATTTATTTAAGTTCAATTTTAATCCTTATAAAAAAATTCATAAGGATGGCCAAATTCAAGAAATCCACTTTACACATAATTGCATCGGACAATTAAAAGTTCGAAAATTTACAAAAAAATCCCAAATTCAAATCTTCACTACTGAATCATATTTAAATTTATTATTCATTACCCTAACATTATATAAACATAGAAACCAGATTAGTGATATTATAAAGCTTCAGAATATCTCTACATTATCATTCCGCCGATTTAATACAATACAACATGATGACTCTCCATCGACTTTACAAAGTATAGATTCATATTTTCAACAAATTCAAGAATCTACTAATGGTGAACGAGTACAAAGTTATCAAACTGTTTCTGAAACTGTTAACGCCGAAAAATCAGAATTAGATGTTGTGTTGAATGTTAGAAAAAATATTTATTTAACAAATTATGAAAGGTTCATAACCTATCAAAATATAAAATATACCATTGATGAATTTTTCGAAATCCTACCTAATGATATCGAATTCCTACGTAAAGATACTCATCATTTAATGGAAGATATTGAATCAACATACAAAAATATAAATGATGATATTCTTAATTTACGAAAAGATATAGAACATTTAGAAAGCTTTTTTTTAAAACAGGAGTTTGGAGAGGACTATATTA